TGGGGAGGGGGCGTGCTTGGTGTGGACGGTCACTCCTTTCCATGCTGTTGCAAATGGACGGAAAATTCCTGTCGGGAATGGGCGTCACCCTGTGTATCCACGCGTGGGCTCTGTCCTCCGGATCCGTCTGCAGGGATGCCTGGCGCATTGGGCTGGACACCGAGGGCCAGTTCAGGGCAGACGCAGACGCACTGGGCCGGGCCTCCCACGCCCTGAGCACGTGCCCCTGCCCTGGGGCGCAGGCCAGCTGCCCTGCGGGTCTCGGGAAGGTGCTGACTTGCGCCCGCAGGCTTACGACCAGAAGAACATCCGCCGCCGCGTGTATGACGCCCTCAACGTCCTCATGGCCATGAACATCATCTCCAAGGAGAAGAAGGAGATCCGCTGGCTGGGCCTGCCCACCAACTCGGCCCAGGAGTGCCAGAACCTGGAGGTGGAGCGGCAGCGGAGGCTGGAGAGGATAAAGCAGAAGCAGGCCCAGCTGCAGGAGCTCATCCTGCAGGTAGGCCTAGGCGCCGGCCCCGCCCCTGCCGCCAGGGGTCGCTCTTGGGCCTGGTCCCCACAGGCCGTCCCGCCAAGGGTGGGCCCAGGGCCCGCGCAGTAAGCGTAGAATCTCACACTGTCCCAGGGTGCGTGTGAGTGTGTGCACGCGCAGGCGTGCTGTCTCCTGGCACACAGTCTCAGCAGCACAGACAGCGCCTCAAGCATGATGCCCAGGACCGCTTTCCAGGGTGGCAAGCCCCTCCTGAGCCAGTGTTGGTCGGGGCGTCAGAGATGAGGTGGCTCAGGGCACCTGGCCTCGTGGGCAGCAGGCTGGCGTAGCAGGGCAGAGGGGCTGAGGCTTCTGGGCCCAGTGACCCTGGGGAGTTGCATTTACCCGAGCTTGAAGGGTGCTCACCTGGTGGGGGTAGGGCTGGGGCCTGGGTTAGGAGACCTGGGACCTTCCAGAAGGAGTGCAGGGCATGTGGCTGCCCGTCTGAGAGGGTCTGGTCATCCGAGGAACCTGCCTGCTGCTTCACACACAGCACATGGAGGCATTTGGAGGGCTGGGAGAGGCCTGGCCCTCCCCAAGGCGCCAGCTCACCCCGGCCTACCTGCCAACTGCCTGACTAGGACTCCCTGAGAGGGGGCCTCAGAGACGCCTCAAGTGCAGGCCCTGCCGTGGGGCGCCTTGGGCCCGGAGGAGTCAGGGAGCCCTTACCCAAACATCAGCTTCCTCCTGCACCCTGGGGCACACTGTCTTCTTTCTGTCCACAGCACAGTGGGGACCTGTGAGGCCGCCCTTCTCACCGGCCCGCCTCGGCAGCCGGGGGCTGGGGGTGGGCCTCGGTCCTAATGTGTAGCACAGGGGGCGCTGTCTGGCTGGTTGCTCGTGTCTCAGATGCGTGGTCACCTCAGAGGTCACCACCGCTTGGTCTGGTGTGGCAGCCGGGGGGGAGCTGGGTGGCTGGGTCTGGCTCCCGGAGTCGGTGTTTTCTCCTGTGCCTGACTGGGCGTCCTTACTGGGTGCAGGTACTGCCCCTGGGTCGCAGAGGCTGCCACTCCGCGTC